AAAATGAAATATCCCACGAGTAAGCCAGTTCTGTACCATGTTCGAATGCCACGCCTACCCTGTCTCAGGTATAAGGAGTATACCTATGCGACCAACACTATAACTACAATTTTCTTTTCGCGCATTCTGGTGATCGCCCTAGAGTGCCGATTCTCCCGAGTTGCAGAGTACGAACACAGCTTTGACATGACAGCTTCATCTGCAAGCAACAATTCCAAGTATCACTTACTTGTATGGCAATCCGGGACCGCTGTTGCTATACGTGTAGTCAGGATAGCTGGAAAGTGATTCAATCGAAGTGGACGATGCCGAATGGAGCATGTTCGAATCGGACGGATGTTGAGGTTGTTGTGAAATACCGTTGGTATCCTGAACTACTAAGGCCTTGCCTCTAACCATAACTCCATACATTTCACCCCAACAAACAACTCGTAATACAATTGGAATTGAAAATATAATGTAGCAGAAAAATAATCACCATATTACTCGAAGGCGTGACGTCAGCGATACATTCTTGGATGACGTCATGCATGAGGCGATCGGGCATATGGCCAAAAGAGTCGACAATTTCCAAATTGTCACAAACTACGGCGCCCAGCATCTATAATGCTCACTGTAAGCTATTAACTTAAGGGCCGTCCTGCGGCCGCAAGGCTTGGTACTAGGAAAAGGTAGTTTGTATGCGTTTTTCTTATGGGGAAAAAGCAAAATAAGCAGTCGAAATAGATTGAAATGAGTTTTGAGCAGTGTGCTACAATGCAGCTAAGAAACATTGGGCGTGCCGATGAAAAGTTAAACAAGAGACAAGGGACTACGGTGCAAAACCATTATCTTCGGGAAAGAAGCTGAACCTGTAGGGAAGCGCCATCCTGGGGGCGGTGCGTGGACAGACATAACCTGTCGAGAGGGACATAGTCCATTGCCCATCGAGATTTTGAAGAAGAATTCCCGTAAATACCATAACTTCTACATTTCTGCAGCGCGAGAAATGATCTCGCAAATTCGCTTAGTATTTCTCAGCCGCAGTGACACCGAAAAAGGTTCACATGGGAGAAAAATTTCAAAATTGTTCAAAAAATATGGCAAATAGGATCTGAACTAACCATGACACTTGGTATGAAGAGCAGGAGATTTCCGAAACGCGATGATGCAACTTCTTTAGGGTGAGTCTCGCGAACGACATGATACAGTGTTTCCTGAAGTCTATCCCTCAAATCAGCAATGGCTTCGGACGCTTCCGACGAGAGTCCTTGGATATCTAAGTCGCAGTATATGATCTGTTAACAAGGACCATTCACATACAACATATTTATCAGATAATCACTGAATCAAACAGTTCCCTATCCCTGTTCCTAAGGTGATGCAGATGTTCGTGCTTGCTAGCTACTGATGCCGTAAGTTTTTTTTCACCAGTGCCTCATCGAAAATTTTATTTGAAAGAGTTTGGTTTGGATCAGACGACGATCATGGGGATATCCCGTATCCTTCGTTTCGCTATACTTGAAGGCAAATTGGAAAGCAGTCACTCAGTGCCACCTTCTCCATTGATCTTACATTCCAGTACGCACAGAGAAGAAGGCGCAAATTAGAAAGGCACACTGTTGATTCCACTGTATCCTATATGATAAGCGTAGACCGGGCTTCAGAAGACCAAATTGCTTATGATCAGTTGGGCTCGAAAAAAATCACGGCGAAAGCTCGCCAATCCGTTCTGGGGACCCCCCCCCCCAGTTCCCGCCGGGCCGATTGTCGGTGGATGCGCCTTTATGGTGGGGTCTATTGTCGGTATACAGGTAGAGGTTTCTTATACGGCAAGTCTTGGAGATGAACGCTCGAAAGGGTCGTCTGAAGCATCGGATCATTGACCCTGAGGCAACGCAGTTTATGGAAGAACTACGTTACTGGAAGAATAACTTTAAGTTGAAATACAAACCATGAAATATTTTTGAAGCTTCTTTTTTTGAACTCACATGGATTTGCAATGATGATCGCTTTCATCAGTGCAGCTTCCTCCTCTTTGATGTTCATCGTCGGCAGGTGCCGTCGAAGGGGCTAATCAGTTCGTCGATGGAGCGCTCAGCCAAACGATTGGCGAAATGACTGCAATACTAAACATGACTTTATGCGATGTACTGTGCGCTAAGGATCTATAACCCATTCAGTATTGGAGGCAAGGGTAACTGAGTGCCAAAAGTAGCTGAGGGGGCCACGAGGCGCACGGCTCAAGCCAATATTCCGCGCCTCAAATAAAAGAGGGCATCACTACGACATAAATTCAAGGTTTCAACGAACCGAGGAAGAAATTCGCAGCGCAAAGCAAAGAGTACGTTTTCACAATATTCTGATAAATTTTTCATTGAGTGTTTAGTTACCTACTATGGTTCAGTCCACCGTAGACAGCAATCCCGTTTAACGTGGCCAAAATTGCAAACAGTGATCTCAGCAAAACAATATCCGGTGTTTAGTGTCTTTTGGCATCACGACACTGAATAGGCGCGAGGAGAGACCATCAGCGGAGCGAAACAGTGCTTCACCGTCGCCACCTGCAAAAGATAGCTGGTACAAGGCAGTGGTGACTGAATTAGTGAACCAAAAACTTGCCGTATCAACAAGATTGTATGCCCTGACCCCAACGAACCTTATCGTCGAGATTCTGAATGTCAATGATGTCGAATAGATGATCGACCCAATCTATCGCTGACAGTAAATTCCTATGAGCAACGGCAGGAAGCTCACCAGCTTCGACTTCACGGAATGAATCGTAGCGCATCTGAAAGCAGTAAATACATGGTGGTCGTATGGGTGGAGTCAGGCTTGTCATTCGCCTTGTCTGCGAGTTGGCCAGCACCTCTCGGCTTCAAACTTCTTTGACAGTGAAGGCACCGAGCGGAGAAGGGTAAGTAAATTCGGACTCCGGCGAAAGTGGCACTACCCCAAGAAGCTGGCATTTGTACTCATCGGATGAGTACTCGCTAAAAGTTTAGTGTCAGTAAACTAGTGTCAGTAGTGTCATCAGCTCTTGTTTGCCTTGGCATCCAGTCTATCAGCTCTTAGCGTCAGCTGGACTGCTCATGTGTAGTGAATGCCTATCGCTGTCTTGCAATTTAATTGAAGATAGAGAACTGGAAGCAAGGCTCGCTGTGGTGATCAAACGCAGAAAACCTTTGATGTCTCACTACCAGAATTCTTAGTTTTGAAGAGGATTATATGTTTCGAAAGAGGCTACACCAACTTCCTGCTCTCCTTCACCCTCACCGCCATCAAGCTGCTTCACAGAGTGTTATCAAGGCTGATCGGGAGCAGGCGAGCAAAGAAATAGAAGTGGCAACTTGTTTCGCTGCCTTCTGCACAGCTATGCTCCCTCTCGAGCCACGCACTCGTTCTACAAGATGGATAGAATTTTTGCAAAAGTACGACTCTCTCCTAAGTTCGCCCCTATTCATCCTCTGAAACCCCTTTCCCCTTTATACCACCATCTTCCTTGAATTTCCTATCTCCTGTCACTTCTTTTCTGCAGCAATTTACCGATGAAGGGGGTGAGGAGGGTTATGGCGCTAGAAAGTGAATTATTTCGGCGCACTGGAGACAGGAAATCCGAAGAAAAGTCAACATAAACATTCGCCCTGCATGCAAATATACCCCTCTTCCCCTCACATTTTGTTGCATTGCGACCCTCCTCGCTAGTACGAATCCGCCAATGTACTGATGTGCCTGTCCCAGGTGTCCTCAGAACAGCTCCTCAATTGCAGCTAAATAGTTCAATCCTGTTCTAGTCGTTTACAAACCTCGGTGCGCTTCCCGTCCAGCACTGAAGGATCTTCAAGCAGTTGACGTACTGAAGTGAAGTTTAATGGGTACACAACGCCATTCCGTCTATATTGCCATCGCCGCTTCCCACCTGTGTCAATCTATTCAAATAAGCAGTTTGATAGAAGAAAAGCAGCCGTGATAGCGTGCAATGGGGGGGGGCGTGCAGCTTCCTGCGAGTACAGCCGCATCGCGACCACGCCGCACTCAGCTGCCACATATAGCTGGCGGACACTGACAACTTACCACCAGATCGATATTCATGATTTGCATGAGCGTCGTCCGCATGTCAACAGGAAGTTTACGAATCCATTCGGCGCGTGACCACTTCAGCCTTACCAGTACTTCTGCAATCTTTAAACTACGCTCCGAGCCCGTCATATTGAGCTCGGCCCTGATAAATGTCGTCCGGGTCGCGTCACGATTCAGGTCGAATAACAGCTGAAATGAGCTCTTGCCAGTTGAGCAAAATTACTCCATCAAACAATTTAAACACACCCAGTCTTGAGCAATTATTGACTTATGTATGATTGGAACCGGGGAATCACGAAAGTTACGCGAAATTCTTACTCAAGTGTGCGACCCCTCTCGGGTTCTCCCCCCCCCCCTGAATGGCGGGCACAGTGTGTAAAGACAGCTCCCGCGATAAAAGTCTCATGGATAGCTGCTTTCCAATTATGAAACAAACAGCAAAGAAGAAAACAGGCAAGAAGCGTCCTCCAGAACAACATAAATAAAATCGCTCCCTCACAGTCACACCTCCCTGCGGTCTCTGTGCCACCCCTAGCTCACAAGTCTCTCTATCACATCTCGCAGTAGTTGATATCATCCAGTGCAAAAGAAAGAATACAAAAAGAAAACAACAAAAACGCAGAGGAAAAACTCTGGGAAGGAAAAAGGAATTTTATCAACACGGTGTCTGAATTTGTGATTACGGTAGCGCGCCTTTTGTGCGTCGTGGTTTTGCATCACGAAAATTGCGTCACGTCGTGTTTTATTAGCCCTTTCACCTCACGAAATGGGTTGAATTGAATGTATATACCTCCAATGAGTGAACTGTAATGAAGGAGAGCAGAATTATCCAGGGGCATTAGCAATGCCCGCCGCCCAACTAAGAACAAGTGAGTGGCCTCCGTCGGAGGACATCTAGCAAGTAAAGGCGGTCCGACTGAGGAGGAGTTAGAACTAGCACTTTGAGCGGCTATAGCAGCCTCCACGCTCACAATAGAGTCGCGAAAGGTGAACAGTCTTCTAGCTTGGAGGCTAGACTACTTGCACAGCAAAGGCGACCACGAGCCACTTTGATCGCGGGGGCTGTCTTTAATTTCTGGTAGTTGATGGCGCGATGTCCTCCCACTCAACCCTCGACGGGTACCAAATTTGGGGACAGGTAATGGCAAGATAGCGGATGAGATGGTGGTAGTTTTTCTGAGTCGCATGAAGGAGTGTTGTTCCATCTGAAGTCGATGCTTGCTCCTCGTACATCGGGACACTCCTCTTCACGAACTGGATTGTGAGAACCCGCACCACTTCTTGACGTTTCCCGAAACTATGGTTCACACTGTTTGACATCAGGGGCAGTTGGGAATCTCTCTTGTGAGGAGTTGTATTCGGTTGCTGGAGGGAGGCGGGGTCTTATGGACTTCGAGATAAGGTTTTTTTCAGCTGATGATTTTTCTCATTCTCCTTGTTCATATGTATTTATGTAGCCCTCCCTTCTTCTGCTCAGACTTCCACTTCAGGGCACAGCATTGGTTGGGGAATCCCCATAGGGGGGTCGTATTTGGCCGCCAGGAGAGGGGGGGTCGTAATGAGTGCGGTAGCCAGTATCGAGCAGCGCAAAGGTGTCAGTGTGCTGAATCCTGTGTAGCGGAACTTGCTTCGTAGAGAACTCGGATATGTAAAAAATGAGTACAAAACTTTCATCCATCAAACTAATCCCTGCCGAAAGTAATTGAATTATTAAATACCAAGTCGACAACGAGTCTCGTAAGGGTTGATTAACCAACACTAACAACTCAGTACTGCTGTTGGCGCTGCGGATGAGGGAGCGTGTCCGCGATGACACGCTTGGCCGCTGAGCCAACCTGTTGTGTAATTTTTCTGACAACGATCAGTACTAACATAGGCGCGTAGCCAGACGAATACTTTCCAGCACTAGTGGTCTCCTTTATCGAATCAGCAGAACTATCCGGAGCAGCAGATCTGGCGGCGTCGACACTCGGACAGCGGCACATCGCCATCTACCCGCAAAGGGAAAACCAGCTGTAGACAAGTGGGCCGCCAAGTTTCGCCATGGACCTCCCTGATCGCTACATGAGCACATTTGCGCGCGTGGACACACATTATGCACAAGTTGCACCATCCCATCACTTCTGCGCGGACCTCAGTGCGCGGCGCATCCAGAGTTGGCGTGATCAGCTCTGAACGAACCATATTCTGCTCCTGCTCCACCACAGGATACGTTCTACATGCGTTCCTGGCTATTCGAACACGCTCACTTGAAACGGTACACAGGAAACGGGTTTTTTCACGAGCGTGCGCTCAGTACTCCCAACAAATTCCCCAACGTGGGGCCAGATCTCATGAATCCCGAGGACTTCCAAAACAGTTCAATAGGTTTTTAGAAAGAGCAAGTCTTCATACACTCGAATCCGTTCTCAGATTTGTGAAATATTGAGTTACAAAAAAATATATTGATTCAAACCTGTTTCCAAAAAAAAATCCCCAACGAATCCCCAAGGCAATTTCTCTGTGATTTTTGCGACCTTCATGAAGATTTTAGCACTTTTAGGAAGATCAAACCTTCCTCTACACGAATACGCTTTCCCCTTCCCCATAGGTCTGCTTTTGAGGAAGTTATGGTCCTTCAAAGACACCCTACTTGCCGAAAATTTGTTTCCCACGGTTGGTCCTGCACAGAATTCCCTTCCCCGGCACCTCGGCGCCGATTCAAACAGGTGCGCGCGGGAAAGTTATTCAAAGAGGTTACCTCGGCTTCGTTTAGACAGCAGATGTTATTTATAAATACCACCAATCACGCCGTGCAATTGCGTACTCATTGCCGCTACCGTATCCACGTCTGATTCATGTTTACGGTGTGGATACTTCGCTAATCGTAATTAAGCAAAGGCAAATAAGATGGCTGTGATTGTGCCGAAGGAGATAGTGAAGATTCAATTTTGTTTCAAGCTTGTTTTTAATTGGCTTAATCACTGGCGCTTTTACTCCAGACCCTTTGCTAGTAGGAGGATGAGCGCTCCTGTCAAGTCGAACGAGAACAATTCCTGTTTTGTTATAGCGTGCTAACTGGTGGTTGTTGTCCCTGTCACCAATGTCTACATCAAGTGGCACAACGTGACTGAAACAGGAGTGGAGGAGGGTGCGGGTCAGTGTGGGTCAGTGCTCCGCGGAACGCGCGACGAAGGGGTCGTATGTTGCATGCGGGTAGTACATGGGATGGGGTCGTAAGTGCAGGTGTCACTACTGCGAAAAGCTGTGGCAAATAAGTGAAGCACTGCCTCGTTCCCGTGTCTCGCCGTGGAGTGCCGTAACTCCGCCTCTCTGCAAATTCATGATAAATTGATGTAGTGAAAATGAAACTACGGACAGCAGCAAG